AAAAACTGCCATGACGCGCGGTGTCAAACATCCTTGTGATAGACGTGTTTCATTGCGAAGTCAACAATTTGAAGCAGGGTGAATTGGATAAATCGTGCACCGCTTTCTTCTTGCGCTGCGCCCTCTCCCGCGGTACCTCCGTGCTGCGTCAGCCGCTGCAGAGCTGAGGGTATAGCGAGGGGCGGGCACCGATAGCGACGAGGATGAGATAAGCACGTTAAAGGGAGGGTCATCCGCACCACTCTTCTGCAGGTCGTTGAGAAAGAAGACAAGATGCAAGCTTGTAGTAAGCTTAACAAATGTTTGAATGTTTTACTGACAGCAAACATTTGACCGCGAAGTTACCTGGTTATTCCCAGAAGAATTCCCGGTTTTCTCTGGCGCATGCGCAGAGAACAATTTTTTGTGTTTGACTGATTTCGGATTTTTGATGGTTTGTGAGCCTTTCTGGTAGAAATGAAGTTGGGCCGTCATCAGATTTGTTTTATAACTAGTTTGCTGTCAAAATTCCTTAGATACGCGTTTTTTCTTCAAAAGTCCCAACAAAACCTTAAATTATGAGGCAGGAAAAGCGCACTGGGAAGTGCTTTCCCGAATCAACCGGGGACTTCACAGAAAAATGTTTGCTGTTGATACGATCATTTTGTTCATAGTGCTAAATTTATTTCAGAAAATGAAAATCGTTAAATTGCATAAGCAGACTTCCATATTGCGAACCGAGAGAGGAGTTACAGCCGATGTGTCCATATTGAATGCCAGCGGCTGGTCTATATCAGGTGGTGCGGGCGGGGCCCCGGGCGGGGCAGCGGCACTGGGTCAGTTGGCCCCCGAGGAATGCCCCCGAGGCGAGGTGGGGCGTGACGGCGTATGGCCAAATGTATGGCACGCCCCCTTGCTATCGTCCATCGCCCACCCCAACTCCCTCTCCTTCCTCCCTGCCCCCCAAGCACCCTTGCCTCCCCGCCTCTCGTGACGCAGCTTTACAAAACGTTCCGCGTCCAATAATTTTCCCCCCACATTTTTCTCGTCCACCGTGAAATTAATGCGCGCCGAAGTACTCCTACTAGTTTCCTAATCTGGCGCGAGCAGCTGTTCGAGTCCTGGCTCCCGGCCGAGCCCGACCGCGCAAGCTGATTTTTTTTTGTCGCATGAACGGTGATGTCTGGCTTTCTTGTTCGTCTTACTCAAGACGGAAAAACGAAACCAAAAGTGAATCAAATATTTTTTTCTCGTTGAGAACAATTGCTGTAATTTCTACCCTTCCCTCCTGCGCCAAAGCTCGCCGGGTGTTTCCTGCGATAAGCCCTGCGGTGGTCACCGCGCGGTTATTTTATTTTATTAGTTCCGTCCACGCGACACGTTGCGCCGAGTGTGCTGCTGTAGCGGAGGGGCCGTGTGGTCTGGCGGCGGTGGACACGGGATGCAGGCCATCGACAGAGCAAACAGCTGCACGTTCATTTACTTTTACCAGGTCGGTCAACTGCGGCAACCTGAACACGCTCTTTGGGAAGACTTTTTCTCCTTTTTTTCTACGCCGTATCCTCTAAAAACATCTCGTATCTTTCTGTTTTCATTTTATTTCTTGCTTTGCCCATTGTTATCTCTGCATCTGCATTGAAAGAAAGTGTGTTCTTAATGTTAGTGGCTGAAGAACTTCACATTTATACTGAGCTGTTATTCGGGCAGGGTATTTCTTGGTTTTAGGTGTCGAGTCGCGGAAGTGGTGCGGAATTACTTCGGTCAAAGGTCGTGCTGCTTTCAGTGAGAGAGGGGGAATGGCGGAACGGCATTTTAAGAGGATTATCGGCTTCAATGAGCCGAGCCACACGGCCGTTAGGTATGCAGAGAGGGGAGAGCTTACCCGTTGACGCCTGAAAACGGAGCCGCAAGGGGAGGGGGGGGGGACTCTTCTTTTCCAAGTGGCAATTTGAGTCATGCTGTTTCCGGAAATTGATTCAACGGCACAGTAAATATTATCTTGTGAAATTGACTAATGTTTCATGGACTGTAAAAAAGTTTTACTGAATATCCAGTACTTTGAGACTGAAGTGTTTTTTTTTACAAACCAGTAGTCTACACTGAACTTAGGACTGAAATTTCAGTAGTGCCTCACCATACCACTTAGTCTGAAAACTCAGTCAGCCAGTAAGAAAATAGTTTTGGAAATGTCAAAAATGAACACATGGCGAGCGAACACTCTTGTCGGGGCAGAGGGCTATTCCCAAGTGGAAGACTCCATTCGGGGGTATAAGGACATGAGCCTGGCCAAGAACGTAAACAATTTTGAGGAATGGTATGATAACAAGATTCAGAGTGCCAAATCTGAAAGACATCTACCGGACTTTCAGAATGTTTTTACAGTTTGCAACTTACTTTGGAAGATGAATTATTTTCATCTGTGGAGACAACCGCAATCTTAACGAGAACAAATGCTTTACCTGGCCTATTCAAAACGCCAGTCTGTATCTCACTGAAGGTTCAAGAAAGTATTCTTTTTTACACTTCAGTTTTTTCTGTTAGCCGCTATTTACTGCTAACAAGAGATCATTTTCTCCTTTTACAACCTCCAAATAGGTGTATGCTGTGGCTGTGACACATGTATTGTATCGAGAGCAGGGCAACTTGCGGCACGACAATAAAGCGGTCGACTCTGCGTGTGTGAAATAATTTGGCGCGGCCAGTACGCGGTAGTGCTGGTGTCGCGGGGCCCCGTGGCACGTGACACGTACCAATCGGCCCTCCCAGCCGAGCCCCGCTGAGTGAGTCTCACTCTTTGTTGAGCTATTTGTCCTATCTCTTTGACTACCCAGAAAAAAAAATGCCGATCAGAAATTACAGGTCACAAACTGCCAAGATATTTTGATTTTCATCTCAAACTGTCTACAAGACCTTCTTTGGTACGATTCGGTTTCGAAAGATGACCTTATCCACACCAAATCCTAATTCGGGTACACTAAAGACAGTAAAGACGTATCCTTTAGTTGAGAATTTTCAAACAATGCAAGAAAATATTTGCACCTTGAGCGTTCTGAAAATTCTAAATTTCTACCCGTTTAGGTTTACCGTAACGCAAGAAGACTTTTAAAAAGAGTAGACTTTGAATTGCATTTCCCTGTGGTCTGCAAACGAGCAAGCACATCCGTGCGCCAGTTTGAGACGCATATTCGGGAGACAATGCGCCTGCCAACAGTGAATGAAACCTGTCCCTCTCGCTCCCTCTCGCTCGCTCTCGCTCGCTCTCGCGTGGACAACCAGCCCCAACGCTAGCGCCCCAGGCCAGCCACCCGTTTGAAGACGCCTCAGCTTCAAGGCGACGGACTAGGAGAGTGTATGAAGAGAAGACAATGCGCCGCAAGCGGGCGAGCGGGGCTGGGCGTGGCGGGGCGTGGCGTGGCGAGCGTAGCGGAGCGTAGTGGGGCGGAGCGAGCGGAGTGGAGCACGGTGGGGTTGAGGTGGGGTAGCGGGGTGAGGACCAGCACGGCGGGCCGCTCGCAGCGATCTGCTATAAACATGTTCTACGAGACACGCCGCGCAAGTTCTTGGAATGTCGTCGTAAATCTGCACACGCTTCCAGAAACGTGCAATTAGGTACTTTTATGAAAGGAAGAAATGAAAGTCTGAACTCGTCCGTTCGAGGAGTTTACCTTGCAAAGTTGCAACATTTTCTACTCCAACCACGGCATAACTATCACCCAGGAAGTGCAAGAAGGTTGGACACGTTGAACCGCGCTAAATCGCGTTGCACCGTTGCAACGGTGGACATGGATACATGTCAGAACAGGTTTCTCTACGAAGCAGTGTGATATGTGTGCTGGGCTTGGCCGAATGCAGTGGTGGTCCAGAAAGAGAGGGTTCGTAAAATGGTCAGCACTTCGGCGCACAACGAAAATATTTTTTCTTTTAAAAAGACAAATATATGCCGTCTTGTCTGCCCTCTTTGATACCGGAAGACGTTCTCACTTACTGGCTGTTTTTGGACATCCCCAACCAAACGCAATAGTTTTCACATCTGAACGATTTATATGATGGAACTAAGATCAGGGCATCCTTAACGTCAATTCAGTTACAACTGTCCAATTGTATGGCCGCGATGAACAAATATTTTCCCCCTGCGCCGCCCGTTCGCAACGCTCTGACTGCTTGGCCTCCAGCTCGGCCCGCACGCCCCTCGAGGGACATCGTGGTGACGTCAGGACCATTGCAACCCCTCCCCAGTCATAGACCCCAGGGCGTGCGCTGCCCCCCACCCTCCCCCGCCATGGGCTGATATTCCATTGCCTCCTCTCCGCTCCCCCGCCCCCCCCCTTCTCCTTCCTCCAATCGTTCAGTGGTGCAGTCGATGATTGCATGGACCGTGGCCACCTTGCTGTACTTGACGTCCACGCACCAACTAGTCACCCACGGGGAAGGAGGTCGGTGGCAGGAACACCTTGGCTAATTTCTTGTTTGACTCCAGGGCTGCCGGCTGCTTGAGGTAGCACGGAGGCTGACGGGACACGCCGTGGCGCCTCATACCGGAGCAACGCAAACTACTTTGACACCTTCTTCGCCAAGTTTAGAAGGCAGTGCCTGCCTGGTGAGTTCGGGAGGCTCCTGACTGTGCAATCTAGCAGTATGCAATATTAAAGTGTGTGTTTGTGCGTGCGTGTGTGTGTGTGTGTGTGAGAGAGAGAGAGAGAGAGAGAGAGAGAGAGAGAGAGAGAGAGAAAGACAGACAGAGACAGACAGAGAGAGAGAGAGGGGAGTTACCTCATGTCGTTTTCTAAAAGATTGGGTATACTGCCACAGCTATCTTCTTGGATGGTAGTTATATTTTTACTGCAAATAATTGTAACGCCTAAAATACTTTTTCAGGTGGAACAAACTACAAAAGTATTACGGCCACTTTTGTGTCGTTGTGATTGTTCTTGGTTTCGGGGATCACAGTCTCAACCAACCGCGTTTAGTACATTAATCGCTTGACTGGAGCCAACCTATACTCTTCTGCTAATTACGTTTGCCAGCTAATTACTTTTTTAACCAACAAAACTGTTTTGTTGATCACAGCCAGTCAAATTGTTTGTACCACTTATACTTGGTATAAAACAATATATTACAAAGAAAAAGCGAACTCATTTACTCTTTGCAAAACCCCTTATGCGTGGTATTTTGCAGTGATTATTAAGTGACTTTCCGCTTCAATGCCGATTTTTAACAGATCTTGCGACACTGAGGCTTAAAGTTTTAGGTGAAAATGGCCGGAAAAAAGTGACTGAGCGTCACGTTTCTTATTCACCTCCTGAGCTCGGGCCATGCACGGCTCTCTCACCCCCGCCAGCCCAGTTACCCAGAACACATCTGACAGGCCGCCCCGCAGCACCGCGTGCCAATTAGTTGAGTTCGGCCCCTTTGATTGAAATTGCTCCCCCCCCTCCCCTCCCACCTCTCCGTCTCCTCCCTATACTCCTCAACTATCTACCCTACCCGCCACTGCTCGCGCTCGCCGAGGCCGCTGCTGGCTGCAAAATGAATCAAAGGGGACAAGTTCCTAGACCACGTCCACTCTTGCCTTCTATAGGAGGATTTTAACCTCTTGGCGGCGGTCTAGTATAAGAGCAGTAGCTAAACAAGCATGCGTGTGAGGACAGAAGGGGGGGGGGGGTGAGTGTAGGCCCACCCTGTTAAAACAAGTTAAACAAAAAAGACGTTTTGGAGATTACAACAAAGTTGTTTCTGTTCACAAGAGTATTGCAATTCAACGGTAAAAGCCGTTACTAAACATTAACAATGTTTGTTAAATGACGACGGCTTGCGCATTTCCCAACCCAACTACTTTACTTGGCTTGTAACTTTACAAAAAAAACAAAAAAACAAAATTGTATGATAACACTATTTTCAGTTTATGTGTTTTCGTTCTGTTCGATCAACTCGGGGCTGGCTAATTTGCTTCATGCCAGAGATCAGAGCTTAGCGAACCAAATTGTTGTCCGCTAAAATGGTTATGATCAGTTTTCCTCCGGGCTATGCTTCGCAGTAAAGCTTTGGCGAGCGGTGCTACGGACCGTGAGGGCGCATCGGCTGAGGATGAGTGCTAGAAGTAGCGTGCTGGCTCCGCGTGGGGAGGGGGGGGGGGGGTGCTCTCTCCCCTCTCCCTCCCCTCTTCCCCTCATACCAATCTTTCTATCTGCGACCGCGGCCTTCGAAAACCATAGAATTATAGTCGTGAAGAATTATGACCCATTGTCATACTTTTTGAATACACTCTCAGACCTGTACTGTTTCTTTTTTGGCCGGTAAAACGTTAGAATTCCTTACAGCAGGAATTACTGATCAATTTGTCAATTAGTAGACGTATAGTTTCGTTCAATACTAAAAAAATCAAATTGTCAGTAAAGTAAAAAGGAATTGATGCGTATTACTGATACTATAGTTAGTATTCCTGCTGCTTGAGAACCTAACATAAGCTCTGACCAGCTCTGACAATGGGCGGCGTAAAATCAGTTATAGGATGAACGTGTAAGAGTGATTTACTGGTTTTGGGGTTAGTCAACTCGTTAAGGCCGCAGGTTCCCGTGACACATTACAAATGCAACAATGTAGTGCGTGCAAGGGAACCGGCTGGGTGGTAGGCTAAACCAGGTTGATTTCTGGACTTTTCTTCCCGTGCGGTCCTGTATACTGTCCCCGTTCCCTGTCCTGAGTCCCTTTCGTCCGCAGCCTCGTGTTGTGTAGTATCGGAGTCAGGCGCTCCGCGTCGCGTCGTGCTGCAGGCCGAGAAATATACGATAAATCTTGGACGAGATACCGCTGACTCTGCGATCCACTGTATGGCGGCCCGGTGCCGTCGGGTGGGGGGAGAGAGAGGCTGAGGCCGTCGGGGAGGCGGCCCGGCCGCAACCCTCGTGCATAGCAGATAACAAGGCTCCACCAACCCCACCCCTTTCTCCTGATTGCCCTATTTCTTCCACACTGTGCCCTTTTCATTCAGTAAGACCTCCTTCCCCCCTCCCTCTTGCCTCGCTTCTCACTTTGCTCTTTAGCCCATCCACATCAGGTGAGAGAGGCTGCCGCAGCCGCCTTCGTCGCCGAGGTGAACCGAGGGACTTAAGTTAGATCATGGCATAGGGTGTGCCCTCCCCCCACACGCCCGCACTTGTCGTGTATCTTTCATTCTCTTTCTCACTCCATCTTACTAAACTTTTGACACACACACACACTAGCTCTCTCTGTCTCTGTCTCTCTCTCTGTCTCTGTCTGTCTCTGCCCCCCCCCCCTCTCTCTCACTCTCTCTGTCTCTCGCTTCTCCCCTTCTTTTACCTTCTTGTCTCTGCTCCCTGTTTCGTGCCTCTCTTCAGTGACGCATAACGTAAGGGGCTCATGCTGGTCCACTCGGTCAGCTGGCCTGAGTGCTGTCATGTGGTCAGAGTGTGGGTGGAGGGTTTTCTCTGCCAGGCCCCTCCCGGTATAGTCTGTGCCGGTCTGGCACAGAGAGTCATACTCGGTCAGGTCCCTGTAGGTCTGGTTCCTGTTTGTCAGCTCCCTGACGGTATGTCTCTGTATATCATACCCAGGCCCCTCTCCGTAGGTAACGTCCTCCTGGTCCCTATCGGTCAGGCCCCTGTAGGTCAGGCCAAGTGGGCCAGGCCTTGTAGGTCTGGTAGTCTGGTCTCTATCGGTCAGGTTCCTGTCAGTCCAGGGTCTCTCTGCCATGGTGCCTAAGCCCCTAAGCCAGGGGAGGGCTTCGTGACGGTCGGATTTACATAGGTACGAGCATGCAGGCACTCCAATCGCAAGACCTGTAAAATTGTTCACGAGGCATGAATGATGTTCAGATTGCGGTACGAGTTTATCCAACCTCTTTTGTAATTGATATTTGTGTTCCCGTAGGAGGAAGGGGGGGGGGGCTTCCTAGCAAGGGGTCGCCGCCTCCTGGGCCGGGCGAGCTCAACGGCTGGAAAGAGATTTGTAATCCGTCCGGGAGCGGGAACGGGCTACAACATGGCGTTGTGGTGTGGTGCGGTACAGTGCCTTTAGCGCTACATGATGGCTCAAAAAGAATACTTGAGCCTGCGGTCTTGCTGTTCTCGCACACCTCATACAAGCTGCAGTTGCACAATGGCAGTGCGGCTATTCGGCTGCGGCTGGGCTGCCTGCTTGGCATGAGCCACAACATTCTATCGCTGCACAGTTTACGGGGAAAAAACGCGATCCTCCATATTCATTTTCAAAGTTAGGAAATCGTGTTTAGAATCCGTGCTCGTCATAGAGAAAATAGGTAGTTGGTAGGGCTTCCTACCATCGTATACTACGGCCTCGAGTGTGTAAAAAACCCCGCGCAAGCGTCCGCCGTGCGATATAAACAAATAAAACAAAGAAAATCATGAGGTACATGAGGGACACCGAGACAACGCCAAAAGATCTTCGACGTCTTTGGAAAGGCGCGCTAAGAAGGGAGGGTGAGAGTGTACAGCACCAATAATAGTGCAGCCTGCCCGGCGCACGCCGTTAACTAGAAATAGAACTCGACAATGATGCACACATTAACAGTACGTGGGCTGCTACCTTACGGGTTGCTATGTTAATGCGTGAGATTGTGTGTGTGTGTGTGTGTGTG